ATAGTACTGTAACCATGAGCTTATATATAACTACATGTCATCAAAACACATGAATCAAACTGTTTGTTATCGTCAAGTATTAATTATACATATTAATGCAGGGCAGGGCCATGACTCCTTTTATTCCACTACCCTGACCCTTCCCAACCTCTTTTAACCACTATTTTATATTCAGGTAGACCCTTTTTAGGAGCTGTGTCTGGCTTATTTAATATACTATTTATAAATTCAAAAGTAAAATTGAAAAATCCAAAATCACAGTAGATATATTAAATAAAATTGTCTCAAAAATTTTCAGATTCACCAATGACATTCTTCATAGAACTAGAAAAAGCAATTATGAAATTGATTTGGAAAAATAAGAGCCTCAGAATAGCCAAAGCAACCCTTAGCAAGAAGAGTGAAGCAAGAGGCATCACAATACCAGATCTTAAACTATGCTACAAAGCAATAGTAACAAAAACAACATGATATTGGCACCAAAATAGACATGTAGACCAATGGTACAGAATAGAAAACACAGAGACAAATCCACATAAATATGGTTATCTCATACTGACAAAGGCGACAAAAATATTCATTGGAGAAAATCCTCTTCAACAAATGGTGCTGGGAAAACTGGAAATCCATATGTAACAAAATGAAATTAGACCTCTATCTCTCACCCTGCACAAAACTCAACTCAAAGTGGATCAAAGACTCAGGAACTAGAACAGATATTCTGCACCTAATAGAAGGAAAAAGTAGGCCCAAATCTTCATCATGTCAGTTTAAGACTTGACTTCCCTAACAATACTCCTAAAGCACAAGAAATAAAATCAAGAATCAATAAATGGATGGATTCAAACAAAGAAACTTCTTCTCAGCAAAGGAAATAATCAAGTACGTGAAGAGAGATCCTACAGAATGGGAGAAAATCTTTACTACATGCACATCAGGCAGAGCACTAATCTCCAAGATATATAAAGAATTCAAAAATCTTAACACCAAAAAAAATAAATAACCCAATCAATAAATGGGCTAAGGAACTGAACACACACTCACAGAAGAAGATATATAATCAATCAACAAATATATGAAAAAAAATGTTCAACATCTCTAGCCATTAGAGAAATGCAAGTCAAAACTACTCTAAGATTTCATTTCACTCCATTCAGAATGGCAATTCTCAAGAATGCAAGCAACAATAAGTATTAGTGAGGATGTGGGCAAAAAGGTACACTCATACATTGTGATAGGACTGCAAATTGGTGCAACCACTCTGGGAAGCAGAAAGAAAACTTTGAATGGAAACACCATTTGACCCAGCTATCCCACTCCTCATTTTATACCCAAAGGACTTAAAATCAGCATACTACAGTAGCAGAGCCACATCAATGTTTATAGCAGCTCAATTCTCAGTAGCTAAACTGTGGAATCAACCGAGATGCCCTTCAACAATAAAGAAAGAAAATGTGGTTTATATACATAATGGAATATTATTCAGCTTTAAAGAAGAATAAAATCATAGCATTTGCCAATAAGTGGATGGTGCTAAAGAATATCATGCTAAATGAAATGAGCCAATCCCCCAAAAAACAAAGTCCAAATGTTCTCTTGATATGCGGGTGCTAACACACAATAAGGATGGCGGCAGGGAATAGAAGTTCATTGGATTAGACAAAGGGAATGAAGGGCAGGGAGAAGGGATGGGACTAGGAAAGATAGTAGAATGAATTGGACGTAACTTTCTTATGTTCATATATGAATACACCACCAGTGTAACTCCACATTGTGTTCAACCACAAGAATGGGATCCTAATTACAATAGGTTATACTCCATGTATGTATAATATGTCAAAATATATTCTGTCATGAATATGTAAAAAGAACAAATTTTTAAAAAGGAAAAATCAACAATAAGAAAAATTCCTGGGAGATTATTTGCCTGAAATATCCTTCTGCTTCCATGCTATATCCTTAAATTGTAGTTAATCAATACCTGTGCTGTCCTCCTGAGGACAAGTTCATGTAGGTTCTCTGAATTAGAAAGATTTTATTGCAAACACATTAATGTGAATGGCATTTTGCCCAGCGATCTATCTACCCTCAGCTCATATTCAATCCCTCAGTTCCCTCATCTGAATCCCACAGGGTAGCCAAAGGGTCTTAATTGATGTTGTCACTTAGCAGTAGGAAAAACCCTGATGCATGATGAAGAAAATCTTTCTGCTCACCTTCTTTGATAGTTATGGCCAGCTAGGTTTTCTAAGTTCCAGCTGGTACTCTATTACCTGAAACCTCCTTGTTCATAATAAAATTATTGTTCCCCACTTCAAAAACATGTTAGCGATCAGATTTACAAAGAGTAAGCTTTTTGTTTGGTGAAACAAAATGGAATCTTTGGGGTCATGTGTTTTTTTTCCTGGTGAATAAGGAGCCCTTGTTGGGTTTTGGTTCCTGGTTATTCCATCAAAATAATGTATTGTTTCGCACAAAAAGTGTGACATTCCATGGGCTTTCCTAAATAGTGTTCCTTCTTGTCTGTTCTCTGATAAGTAATAAAATAACAATAAATGCATTTCCAAAGTCACACCTGAGAATTTCTAAAGCCTGGGATGTAGTGACCTTTTGGTGATAAAAATGACAAAGCTGAGTTTGAGCCATCACCTTCAGGGTTAAATAATCCCAGGGGTGGTTCATTATATCCTGAATTCACAGAAGAGAAACCAATTGCCAGGTTGAGTTATCCATCTTTTTAAAAAAGAAAAGAAAAGTAGTTCTCATGGCTGTAAAACAGCTACAGATTGCTTTCTTTGCACCCTTGAGGAGCCGACAGGGCCCCAGATGGAGGTGTTTTTCAGCAAGCTGTCAAGCGATCCATCCATCAAAAACAGCCACATCACCCAGCTGAGTTTTCTTTCCCTGCCAAGATTTGTATTGAGTCAATTGGGAGAGGCCAGGGTAAGATGAACGCAGGAAAATCAAAGGTCAGAGAAATATGTACCAGAATTGGAAGAGATGAGATCACATGTAAATTCCAAAGGTTATATTTAGAGTTGTTTTACGGTGACTTAAATTTTTTTTTCTCTTCTACTTTCTTTTATTCTTTCCAGAAATATGGATTTCATGACATTGACACTGAGAGGTGGTTTTGTGTGATTTGAGAAAACCAAAGCTGCAAAGATGTACTAGAGTGGTGCCTAAAACACACTGAGTTATTGTCAGCAAGCCAAGGGCCTTTTCATTCATAGAACTAAAGAAAGTAAAATGGGATCCTTTGAAATCACAAAGTTAAAGTGAAAGTAAATACACCACCCCACCCCCCGCCAAATCCTGCCCAATCAATCTGGAGGTCACCTGGGGTCTGATGTTGTCCACTTTAGCTTTACCTCATCTTTGGAACTGCTATTCTTCTAAGAAGTAAGACCATGTAAAAGCATGCAAATTCCATCCTTATTCCTGGTGCATATTCAAAGCTGGAGAGACAAGTTGTGAGCAAGCTGGTAGGGTTTTTGTTGAGAATATACATATACATGTACGTGCATATCCACACTATCTTAAGTCATTGTTAAATGGCATAGAAAGTCATGAAAATTATAATTCCTATTACACTTTATTTACTTAATTTTCCCTTTTCCTTTTTTTAAACATTTTTTTTTTTAGTTGTAGATGGACACACTATCTTTAGTTATCTCTTTATTTTATGTGATGCTGAGGATCGAACCCAGTGCCTCAGTCATGCAAGGCAAGTGCTCTGCCACTGACCCCCAGCCTCAGCCCCCCCCCCCATTTCCTTTTTAAGGCAGTAATTCTCAATAATGTTCTTTATGCAACCTATTAATTTTGGGGGGGTGGAGTACTGGGGAACCAGGGATTGAACTCTGGGGCACTCGACCACTGAGCCACATCCCCAGCCCTATTTTATATGGGTCTCACTGAGTTACTTAGCACCTCGCTTCGGCTGAGGCTGGCTTTGAACTTGCTATTCTCCTGCCTCAGCCTCCCCAGCCACTGGGATTACAGGTGTGTACCACCATACCAGGTCAACCATTAATAATTAATAAGCATATACTCTATGCAAAAAAACATTGAGTAGTTGTGATGGTTATATGCTAGAGCTGTGCTCTGCAACCCATGTCACACCTGGAAATTAATTATACCTGCCTGGCAATCTGCGAAAGGAGTCAACCCCCACTGAGAATTCTCTGGCACACAGAGAAGACTTCAAGTCATTTTAAGCAATTCTGGCCCTTTACAAAAACAATAAAAATAAAACACCTTATAGCATATTCAATCATCCTTTCAATGGTGGCAAATATTAATGGTTATTAACCATGGTTTGAAGCTCCAATCAATCTAAAAACTTTGCAGCCACCAATATCCCATGGCACACCTATAAGCAGTTGTTGGCCAGCCTGTTTCCTGTTTAGCTGGGAAACTCTGTATAATAGAAACGAGTTGTCCCACAGAGATGGGGAAAGGATCCAACTCAGGAACTTTGCATAGTGTATGGATTTTGTATGTCATCTCCCTAAAAGTCACATGCTTTTTCAGTGTCAACATAAAACAATGCGGGGCTTTGTAGCTCAGAGCACTTGTCTAGCACGTGTGAGGCCCTGAGTTTGATCCTCAGCACCACATTTAAAAAAATAAATAAATAAATAAAGGTATTATGTCCATCTACAAGTAAAAAAAAATTTTTTTTTTAAAAATGGGCACTTTGTGCAGTGTTTATCTAGCGTGTGCAAGGTCCTAGGTTCAATCCCCAATACCTCAAAATAAATAAATAGATGGTTCTTAATTTTATAGTCTTCAAAAACTGATGAAATACCAAATTGTTTTGAGACAAGGAAAAGAGACCCAATGTAATCAGAGACTAACAAAAACTGGATAAAATACTTACTGGTCAGTGAAGTTTTGCTGCTTTTCTTAAGGGCAGAGGCAGTTTCTTAACGGGTAAGAAAGGGATAGCTGTTATCTTTATTTTTTAAAAGTAAATATCATCTCTTTTTTTATAGTGATAAGGTGATAAGACTTATTCCCAAAACAGAAGAGGAAACATATGCACTGAAGAAAATACATCACCAATTCAAGGTAACAGAATATCCGCTTGGGGTAGAATTAAGCTTGTGGTTGTTTATGGGGCTTTGCTGACTGCACCTAAATAATTGGTATTAATTAGCCAGGGGAGGTAAATGCAGAGATACTTTGAAAAAGCATTTAAAGCATTTAAGTTTAGGCTGCTCAAAAAAAAAAAAAAATCTTAGCTAGTCACGGTGGCACACGCCTGGTAATCCTAGCTGCTCAGAGGCAGGAGGATTGTGAGTTCAAAGCTAGTCTCAGCAAAAGTGGGGCACTAAGCAATTCAGTAAGACCCTGTCTCTAAATAAAATACAAAATAGGGCTAGGGATGTGGCTCAGTGGTTGAGTGCCCCTGAATTCAATCCCCAGTATACCTCCAAAAAAAAAAATCTTTGAAAATTACACAAAAAGAGATGAAACTATTAAAAATTATGTAAAACATAGTTTAGTAGTTCACTTATCCATCTCCCAGGTATAATGTAAGCTTCATGAGAGTTTGTCTATTTTTACTCATTTCTTGTTCCTCAAGGCTGCCTGGAATATCCTAGAAATTCTGTAAATGTCTTGTTTTGTTTTATTTTGTTTCCTTTAAGGAATGAGTGAATTTAGCTTATAGTTTTCAGAACTTCACTTTTCCTTCTTGCAATCATCCTACGGATCAGCAAGATACTTTCCTCCTAATTAAAACTTTAGGCAGAAGTGAGTTGAGGAAAATACAACCTAGAAATGCGAGTTAATTATGTTGCTATGTTTCAGTTGGTCTGATAGGAGAATCTGGCTGGCAAAGTTTGAAGGCTGTGATTATATCATGTCTGATGAATTTTATGGATTTAGAGTTTCTCATTTCTCCATCACTACATATAATTGAGTGTTAGCTTTAACTCAAAAGTTATAAGAAATGTGGCAAAGAGCTGTTTTCCATGCCTACCAAAACACAAGCAGGCTTTTAAAATTACATGGTGATTAGGCTTCATTTTAACAAATGGCAAAGCTGATTACCAAAGCAGCATCATTAATCTCTAATATGAGACAGAGAAATATTTTTCTAGATGATGGAAGTACAATGCTACCTGGAGAAAGTGTTAGGGGATGAGACAGCAGGGATAAACATGATGGTTTCTAGAGACAATTGTAGTTTCCATATGTTTGGTCTTTTATTTATGGTTTGATTTTTCTCTTTTGTACCTTCCCTTTAAATATCATTTATTTACAAACAAAGTTTTTTTTAACTTTGAGTTTACTGGTTCCTTTCCTTCTTTCTCGTCCTCAGCCCTGACCCAAGCAGTGTCCATTTTCAAGGATTGGTATCTCCATACCCCTCCCCTAAAATTGTGGTTCTTTTACCCAATATCTGAGAGACTGTGCTTGCTGGGCTTTTCCTAAACCTCCTTTCCTCCTTGAAGGACTCTCTACTTCTGTGATGCTGACATTAACCCTTTCTGGTCATGTATGATCATCAACCCCCACCATGTCCTCTTTGGCAGTATATATCTGAACTCTCTGTAACCAGTCCTGCAGGATCTTAAGAGTTGTAATGAAGTAAAGAAAGATTTGAGTAGAAGTTTCCATTTCCATTGAAATCGTTTTTAAATATACCATTGGAAAAATGAAATAGCCACTTTTATTTTAGACTCATGTTTTAGAGAACAGATTTTCTGAACCAAATATCAGAACAAAGGATTTTTCTCCAATTTGTGAATCTATTTACATGATAGGCCAAAGCTATGAAACAAAGATACAGAGCTATGAAAATGAATTTGCACATGATAATCACTTACCATTTTCAAAAGCAGTAAAATCATATCAGTGAGAATTATTAGGGTTGCTTATAAACTCTCAGAAACCATCACAGATGGAAGATGTTGAGCATAGATAGCACTGATGACTTCACATTTATATTAGACCCTGTAGTTTCCATTTTATCCTTAAAGAAAGGTAGTCAAGTGAGGGGTTTAGTAGACCACTGTGAGAAGGGAAGAAGAGGGTACTGGTAAAAAAAGTGTGGAGGAAAGTGACAGGAAGAAGGGAGTTAATATCAGAACCCTGGCAGGTAAGGTGGTGCTTAACTAAAATCCCAGCTACTCAGGAGGCTGAGGCAGAAGGATCACAAGTTCCAGGCCAGCTTACAGTGAGATTCTGTCTCAAAACTTTAAAAAAAAAAAATTTAAAGGAATGGGAATATAGTCAGTGGTAAAGTTCTTGCCTAACATCGACAAGATGCTGGGTTCAGTCCCCAGCACCACCAAAAAAAAAAAAAAAAAAAATGATGATGATAATGATGCTAAGACAAACGAGGCTCCAGTAATTCCACTCCATGGATAATTACATCAGCCCTTCTCAGTCACTGTGAGCCTGCCACACAGGGCTACATGCTTTCTATAAACTACCTCATGTTGACAAGCCTATGAAGTGGGTATAATAATTATTGCTGTTTTACAGATGAAGTAACTGAGAAAGAAAGACAGAGGTGAAGTTGCCCCGTCTTGGTACAGAATTAGAACAAGCAGCCAGGCAATGCCAGCCCTCTAAGACCTCTAGTCTGACTGCTCAATCCTCTTCCCAGAGGAGAGCATATAGGCTGAGTTTGCAGGGCAGTGAAGCCTAGTCTCAGAATGTAAGCACTATCAGATTCTCATTTACTTTATTCGTAGAGTTGGTGAATGCGAAGATCACCCTCAGGTTCAGTGATTTGCAGGAGGCCTCACATGAACCAACATGTAATTCTCCTGATTGCTGTGATTTTTTTCACAGCAAAGAGATTAAAAAAAAAAAAGAAATCCACAAAGGGGAATGGTGCGTGGGGTAAAGTCCAGGGGAACCCAGGCAGAAGCCTCCAATAGTCCTCTCCCAGCAGAATCACATAGGACGTGCTGAATTCCCCTGGTGTGAGTTTTGACAACACTGTGCAACATTCTCATTGCAACGTTCTCAAGGAAGCTCATTAGAAACCCCATGTCCAAGGTTTTGATGAGGTCTGGTCATGTCATCACTATCTGTCTGGCACATAAAAAAAAATTCCAGGCTTCTAGAAGAAAAGCACATATTTGGCATGAACCATATTGTTTGTATAAACAATATAGGCACATTGAGTCACTCTCATCAGTTAGGGTGGTAGGAACCCTCCTGAAATCCAACTTCCCAGATGCCAGCCAAGACAAAATTTTTGCAAACAGGCCTTTCTAAAGATAGCATTTTCAGGCCTGCTCTGTTAAATCTTTCCTGCACGGTTCTTCTTTTCCTTTCACTAGAGAAATAGTTTTATTGAACTACAGTCTGAGGTATTGAGCTTAGATAAATTTCTGTCTGAAAGCATCTTTTACCTTGATGTCATTTTAAATTCAAATGATTTTACCAAGTGATCCATTTGCTCTAGGGAAAGCAGCAATTCTGGCTAGGCAAAGAAGGCAGCCTGCAGAGAAGAAAGAATATGACTGTCTGTCATCTTCTGGCCTGAGAAGCTGATAGGACAGAATTGGGGCCATTGCTAAAAGCTTCCTTGCATATCTTGTGCAGTGCCTTCAGGGGGAAAGGAGGAGATTTGCCACAAAGACTTTAGTTGCCGCCTTATTCTAAAAGCACAGAATTCTAACATGGCCCTGAGATTTCTGCCCTCTGTGTGCAAGTCCTGTAACACTGATCCCTTGTGAAGAGGATGGAATAGCCATTCCCATGATGATGTAATAGAAGGGAGATTGAGCTCTCTGAAAGCAAAAAATTTTTTCCAACTGCTCACAGAGGAAGAAGAAAGAGAAGTGCTCCCACTGGTCTCAAAGCATTTCACAATGGCTATGTTGTAAAATATCCATGGAAGTTATATGGCAATAAACGATAGTGACCTCTACAAGGTGAGTGATCCCCAGCTGATGGGCAGCAATCAGATGGAGTCATCAGTCCTACAACCACAAGGACCTGGCTTTTGCTACAACTATGTAAGCTTGGAAGAAGACCCTGAGACCCCAGTGAGAATGCAGGCCAGCTAACACCTTGGTTTTAGCCTATGGAAAGCCTAAAGAAAGAATCCAGCCATGCCTGGATTTCTCTTCTACAGAACTGTGAGATGATAAATGGAAATCGTTTTAAGCAGCTAAGTTTGTGGTAATTTGTTCCACATCAATACAAAACAGGCATTCAGTAAAGTACCAATCTATGACTTAGCCTTGGTTTTTTATATGAAGGCTTTAAGTTAATTTTCCTGATTTCACTGGCTATAACCAAGCATGTTAAGGAGAGGGAAAAGTGATTGGATGACATGCTTTGGCTATAAATTCACAAAGTCTTATCTGAAACATGAACAAATGCAAAATGTGTGTATAATATTGAGTGGAATCTGAGAAGGTGCAGTCAAAGCATGGCTAATTAGACATAGAACTGCTGTTACAAAGCTGGTTACTCTCCTAATTAAATTTTATGGTTTTGCTGAAGAATTGAAACAAGAAAGTTAAACAGAAAACCATGCCCCCAGAGAACAGGATCGAGAAAGCACCAACCAATTAAATTGTTAATTAAGAGCATAACCATGATTTAAATAAAGTTATGATGGAAGGGGAACAGGTTGCAGGTGAGTAAAATTAGAATCTGAACACCGTGTTCTGCCTGCATTTCTTCACAAATTCTTTGTTTGTGCTCTGAAGAAACAGAAATGGCTTTATGCAATATCTCAAAGTTTCTATTATAGAGTTGACACATTCTTGTTGAAGGAGAAATTAATGACATTTCTGTTTCCAGTTTTCTCATCAGAGAGAGAGAGGGTAGAAAACTGCTCTGTTTTTCTAAGTTTGTCATTTTTTTTTTCTCAAACTGGAGCACAAACCTAAAGATATTGGTTGTTCACCAGGTATCATTGATGGACATGCCAAGAGTCACAAATTCCCATAGAGGAAACTGTACTTCATCTGTACTGCACAACTGTATTTCACACCTTTGTTTTGAATGTGGAATTTTCTGCTCTCATCCCAGTATGATCTCTATCTTTCAATCCTAATTTTTTTTTTCTCCTGTATTTAACTCATGTC